ACTGTTGCAGATCACAAAAAAATGATCAACATAACATATGTTATGGTGAAAGTTCTTGCAAAAGTTTGATTATAAAATTGTGAGATAATTTTGATCTTGCTGATGATCTGGACTTAGAGAGGCTACAGCTATATTCTAGTGAAGTTTCAGAGGCAACGGGCTATGTGTAACCACCTGCCTATTATACAAATGACCATTGCACAAAATGAGTGTCCATTATGCTGCTCGGAGGTGGTTTTTGCTGTAGACAGTCCCATATGTCATTACGATGACTTTTAATGAAAGCAACCTATAGATTTTGGTCATTACAAATATGAATATTAGTAATAATAACATTATTGATAATAATAAAAATAGTAGTAATAGTGAAAGTTGAATTTTTGTCAGAGTGCCCAAAGTATAGGTAATACTCACAGTGACTTTGGGTCCGAGTATTTTCCTCCCATGCAAGTGCTCTGACGATTTTTAACTTATATTTTTATGTATTTTTCTATTATTAGTTGAATTAAAAATAAAAATAATTTTCTTGTCATTTAATTCATTGTCCATAAAAAAATTTTTAATTCCAAGTCATGTGCCCACTAATTTATCATTGGTCGAAATCCATGCATAAATTATAACAATTACGATCTAAATCAATAAAAAATTTTTTTTTTTAAAAATTAATTGTTAAATTTTTTTAATTCAAAAAAATGGCGACATATAAAGACATCAAAGATGAATTAGAACGAGCAAGAGAAGATTACAAGAAGGCAGAGGGAGAGTTGAAGAAGTTCAAAGAAGGAGAGAACGATGGAAAGTGGTTGGAAGACTTGAGGGGAAAGGCGAAAAGGAAAGAGATTGACGAAGAAGAGAAAGAGGAGAAGAAGAGGCTGGAAGAAGAGTTGAATGAGTTGACGAAGGACAAGAGAGATAGGTTGAAGCAGGTGGAGGAGTTGCAAAAAGCGTTAGTTAATTTCGGTAAAGGAGAAGAAGGTAACAAACAAATTGTGTAAAAAAAAAAAATTATTTTTCGTTCATTCCGTTTCGTTTTTATTTTGTTTATTTGTTTGTCTGTGGAATATTTGAACTACCATTTACAACTTTAACTAATTTGTATTTTTCTTTTGCATCTTTTATAATTAAATATACAATCTTTATTCATTTGTCAAATTTTATCCCAAATCAATTCTTTGATTTTTGCTCATCCAATTATTTGATAACATGTACATCAGGTGAGTAAATTTTTCTACTCATTCAGGGACTCTCATACAAATATGATATTTAAATCATAAATTTTTTTAACTCTCTACTCAGTCAAACCTAGATCGGCTCATAAACGAGTTGTTGAATTCTGGAAAAAACTTGATGAAGCAAGAATCATTTTCCCACTGTCAGATCCTGATTTATTAAATCCTGAATTTTATAATCATTTTGATTGCAAAAGTGAAAAAGATTTAGAATATAACCTACGACCCTTTGCCAAAGTTAAGAATAATTCATTTGCTTGTGAAAAAAAAGGTGTAAATTTTAATATGGATCAACTATTTGCTGCATCTGAAGGTTATTCAAATGGCTGCAGAGGAATTTTATGTCTTCCAGATGATATTTTTTTTCTGGGAGATAAAAGATTTGGATCATTGCTTTTAATACGGGACTGCTATTTACAACTCATTAAGGAGTTCAAAAATGACATATCCAAATTTGGATCTATTATCACAGGTACACCTGGAATAGGAAAGACGTACTTTGGGCTATTCCTTCTATATTATATTCATTTAAATCATCCAAAAGCCACCATAGTTTGGCAATTAGCTATCTCAGACATCCATTTCAGCTACCAGTTCATGCCAAATGGTGATGTTCAAGAGGGGAGCATTGACTTATTTCGTGATGCATTGACCAATGAGAGCAATTACTACATTTTAGATGCTCAAAAACCTGAAAATTCCAGTGCTTATACTATTTTGTTGACATCTCCTAAGAGAGAATTATATAACAATATATTTAAACAAAGAGGTAATACTAAATATTATATGCCCATTTGGAGTAATGACGAAATAAATACACTCTGGAATGTTTATTACAAGGAAATGAAAGGTTATAATGGTAATCACTTTACATATGATGAAGTTATGAAACGAATAGGCAAATGGGGACCAATACCCCGATCAGTTCTTGAAAAATGGAATGACAAATTATATGGTGACACTGAATTTGATCAGCTGATTAAAGAAACTGATTTGATGAAATGTATGCAATCTATTAATGAAGAGGGAATGTCAAAAGATTCTGCTAGTGGCAGACTTATCCATATCAATGTGTGTTCAGATTTTAGAACATATAAATTCTGTTTTGCATCACCAATGGTTTCAGAAAAACTTATCATTACTCATCAACTTAGAAACCATAATAAACTACATGATTTTATTTTAAGTAGTTTCAGTGAACCACAAACTTCTGGACTTCGTGGTAACCTTTTTGAAGAATATGCCCACAGACAGTTGCAAAAGGGTGGTAAATTTAAAATTTCCCAACTTAATAGAGGTGTGAAAACAAGAACAACATCAACAATGTATAAAGAAATAGACAAGTTGAAATACAATTGGTTTGATAAGATAGATGATGTACTCCAGGATTCTTACAATAGACCTCAATCAAAAATATTTGAATCAATTGATTCTTTTATTTTTAACCATCATGAGAACTCCTTAGATTTATTTCAAGTTACAATATCGACAAAACATGGTGTAAAGGTAAGACAAGAATATGTCAAAATCATATTATCTTATTGGTTATTTTGCTAACTTGCAGTTTTGTAGGTAAAGGGATTAGAGAAGATCAAACAACATTTGTGGAGTGGTAGTGATATTAAATTATATTTTGTGGTACCATCTGACAAATTTGATGAGTATCCTTGGCAAAGTTATCATACTGCCAATAACTTGGTTAGTTCTGGTCATTCGCAGTGGATTGATAATATACCACAATATGTACTGGATATCAATCTGCATGGCAGTACATTAATGAGTAATACAACTAATGAGAGTAATGAGAGTGATGAAATGGTTTGTGAGGAATAAAAAGATTTTATTTTATTTGCTTAGATTGCTTGTGTTATTATTTATGTATGTCAAAAAAAATCATTGATAGTTTTGCCAAAAATGATATAATAAAGTTTTTATATATTAGAATTTGCATTATTAATAAGTGTTTATTTAATTTGTTTGTGTGGGCTTTTATTTTTTAACATGTGTGTGGAGCTCTGTGTATGTTTTACAATTTCCTAGAATACTTAGAATATTACACAAAGTGAATACATATTAATATTATTCCAGACATTCATTTATCACGTTGAACATTTAATTTCATTGGCCCAATTTTTGTAATGATCACCTCTAAAACATCACACAAAAATTAATTTTTATTGGCTAAAAACAGTACCACATACAATATTTAATAAGTGTTTTCATTACAATATCCTTCTATTATTTTCAAGATGAATGTTGGGAGAAGCTTTGAATCGCTTCTCTTAAATACTTTCTTGAAGTATTACAAATTTAGAAGATCTATTTGTAAGAAATCAACAATGATGATGCTTTGTCATTGTATTTGTAATCACTACATAATTATTAATCATTGTTTGCTAATCTACTTTAAACTTTAAAGGAAATTCTTTAAATAAATAATAAATAATGTTGCTTGATTAAGCTAATAATATAAAGTATTGTTAAGTATAAATATAGAAATATGAGAATGATTGTATAATTTAAAAGGAAATTATTAAACTCATCATTCTCCAATTGGTACTTGTAAATAAAATAAAAAAAGAATAATTGTCTGGTTGATCTTCTGTGTTTGTCACAGAGATTACTATTAAAGGTTAACTATTTTAAAATATATTCTTTGCAAATCTTAGGATTGGAATTTGGTCCAGAACAACATCTGTCCACAATACAAAATATTTTTTTTAAATTGGATTTCTTAAAAAATTTCATTTTCTGCAATTTATAAATTTAATTTATTTGTGAAATATTATGGATGTTGTAAGGGCGCTGACATATATTAGCTAATATTGATTTAATAGTAGCGCCTACCCCCCCCCCCCCACCCCCTAAAATATTAGCTAATATATGTCAGCACCCTAATAAACATATACACATCAGGGAAAAGATTAAAAAGCTAAGTTTTATTTTTTTTTCATACATAATTATTTAAAGATAGAAACCATTTTTATTAAATTATTGTTAATGAAAATAAAATATTGCAAATATCTATTAATTTTTTTTCTTTTTTGTTCTTTGTTTGCCCTATAAAAAATTTTTTTACAGAAAGTCCTACAAAATGTAAGGAACTGCGGGATGTGTAAGGAAAGTCCTACAAAA